GACGTGGGGCTCGATCCCAGGACCCTGGGATCATGACCTGAGCTGAAGGCAGAGGCTTTAACCCACTGAGCCACCCAGGTGCCCCAAGAGTTTGGCTTTTATTCCAAGTACAACAGTAAGCCACTGGAGAGTTTTAAGTAGGGAAGTAACATAAGCTGGTATATATTATCTTTCTAAAAGATCCCTTTGGCTGCTACCATAGAAATAGATTATAGGGGAGATAAGTAAAAGTAGGGAGAAAGTTGGGAGGTTATTGCAGTTATCCATGTGAGGAAAACGACTATATTTAAGACATAGTTTGTGTATAAGTGACAGGACTTGTTGATATGGGATGTGGGATTGAGGATATGAAAGAAATCAAGTATCTTCAATATTTGGTTTGAATGAAACTGGGGGTGTTTGAGGGGTTAAGTTTGAAATACTTATTACACATGTAAGTGAAGATGTCAGGTTGATGGTTGATTATACCAATGTGGAGCTGAGAAGAAAAAACATGACTGAATTACTTATCAGTATCCTCCTTTTCATCAATTTGAAATAATTCCTTATCTACCATTTTCGAATCTAACCAACATCTTAGCCATGAAAAAAATACTTTTAAAAATAAGTGAATCAGGGGTCCCTGGGTAGTGGGAGAGGGAGAAGCAGGCTCCCCGCTGAGCAGAGAGCCCAAGGCGGGGCTCAATCCCAGGACCCTGAGATCATGACCTGAGCTGAAGGCAGACGCCTAATGACTGAGCCACCCAGGTGCCCCGCATCTCTCTTTTTTTAAGATTTTATTTATTTGACAGAGAGATAGAGAAAGCGCACAAGGAGGCAGAGTGCAGGCAGAGGGAGAGGGAGAAGCAGGCTCTCTGCTGAGCAGGGAGCCCAATGCGGGGCTTGATCCCAGGACTCTGGGATCATGACCTGAGCCAAAGGCAGCCATTTAACTCACTGAGCCACCCAGGTGCCCCAAGCATCTGACTCCTGTTTTGGGCTTGGGTCATGGTCTCAGTGTCATGAGATCAAGCCCCACATCAGACTCTGTGCACAACAAGGAGTCTGTTTCTCTCTTTCTCCCTCCCTTCCCATTCTCTCTCTCTCAAATAAATAAATCTTTTAATAATGAATTGAATGAATGAATGAATGAAGGGGCACATGGCTGGCTCTGTAGTAGTTCATGTGATTCTCTATTTCAGATTTGAGTTGGAGCCTCACACTGGGTATAGAGTGTTTGTACATGCATACATATATACCTAAATAAATATAAATAAAGAAACCTTACAATTCACAAAGAAAAATGCATTAAGCAAACTGCTAGTATATTCTAATAATTGTCCTCCACAGAATTTGCCTTTAGAGTTTGGCTGACATTAGAATAAACTTGCATTTTTCATAAAACTGCCTTCTAAGATATCACTTAATTCCCCTTAACCAGAGATCCTCTGTCAAATTCAAGACCCAAGGCCACAGCTAACATATACATAAATTCCAAATGGAAAGATTTAAACATAAAATAAAACTTTTTGAAAATTCTGTAAGTAAAAATGGAAGCATTTAATGATCATGGAGTGGGAAGTTCTAAGTAGAAGACAACACTCAACCAAAATAATGGTGAAAGATTGGCTATATAAAAATCATACTTTTATAAGGCAAAAAGTTAGAAAAACTGGGAAAAATACAGGGAATACAGGCCTAATGCCTTCCTTAAGATGTTAAGAATTCTTACAAATTAACAAGACCAACCACTCAATAGAAAAATGGACAAAAAAATATGAACAGCCACTTCATAGAAAAAGAAATAGGGTAAATGGGTGTACCTGGCTGGCTTGGTTGGTAGAGCACGCAACTTTTGATCTCAGGATCTTGAATTCAAACCCCATGTTATGTGTAGAGCTTAGTTAAAAAAAGGAAAAAAAAGTAACTTGAAAGTGAAAGAAAAGATGTCCAACCTCACTTACCGGAACAACAAAATTACAAAACAACACAAAAAGATAAGAAAATGTAGTATCACAGTATGAGATGTCATTTCTATAAATCTATCAAACTGACCAAAAAAGAGAAAATATTGTGTTGTCAGGGTGTGGAAAAACAATTACTCTCAAGCATCATTGGTAGGGATATAAATTAATAGTCTCTGTGAAGGATAATCTGGGTAACATTTATAAAAATTTTAAATGCACTCTCACCAATTCGTTATCTCTTCATAAAAAAATCTGATCAACCTAAATATCCATCAATAAAAGAATGATTAAACAATAGTATATTTGTACAAAGGAATATCACACATCTATTTTTAATTGAGAAAATTCTATGTGTACTGATAAATACAATAAGGTATAAATTTGAGTGATAAAGAAAAAAATGTATTTTAGATACATGGAATAGCTGTGGAAGGTCATACAAAAAACTAGTAATCATGGTTGCCTCCTAAAAATGAACTGAGTGACTAAGGGACAGGGGAGGAAAGAAGAATTACTTTTCACTGAATTTAAAATCTTGTGCAAATAATACTTTTTAAAAAATTAATTGAAAAATAAAAAAGAAAGACGAGAAAAACATTTTTTCTCTCAAAGAAAAAACTTATCATTAGACCAAAAGTTACGTAACCAATTATGCCTTTCTCTTTGCTTTTGCTTATATGACTTCTTAATACAGATTCTCTTTGCTGCTTTGCTTTTGTCTTTAATCTGCATTAATTTTTAAATTTTGAAATAGGGGGCTGCCTGGGTGGCTCAGTGGGTTAAGCCTCTGACTTTAGCTCGGGTCATGATCTCAGGGTTCTGGGATCGAGTCCCACATCGGGCTCTCTGCTAGGCGGGGAGCCTGCTTCCTCCTCTCTCTCTCTCTGCTTGTGATCTCTCTCTCTGTCAAATAAATAAAATCTTTAATAAATAAATA